TGCGCATTTTTGATGAATCCACTTATAATTTTAGCTCTAAACAAGCAAGTACTTGAAGAGCATGGTGTCGTGGTTCGTCGGTGAACCTAAATTGCAAGTTCAGGCATAAAGGAGCAAGTATTCACAACAATTTGGAACAAACATTAGAAAGGAAAAATGGCACCTGGAGCATTCGCCCTCTCCGCCTCTCCGCCTCTAACCCAACGAAAAGACTTTCCAATTTACGGATTTAAGTTGAACTCTGCTCTGCTAATTTCTAATATTCCACTGGTGGACGACGATGGAACACTTTCAGAGTCGACTATCTCACATTGCGTACCTTATGCGAGAAAATATGAAATAATTTCTCCAAAAAGCTCAATTATTCATGAAGACTCTTACAAATATTCTCTTGATTTTGAAATCTATTCTCCTTAATTGTGAAAGCAGTTACTGCAATATGCGCTGTGTAAACGTTGATTCTAACATGAGCCTGTTATCTGCGAGTGTTACCATTACACTGCGAATCAAGAAAATTTTTATATTTGAAATTGTAGAATTCTTTTCCGTATTTTCAATCTAAACAAGGATTTTATGAATTTCTGTAACTATAAAAATGATCATTGAAGTTGAACTTAAACTTTACCCGAAGTAAAAATATTAAACTCGCAACATTCTACTTGTTGTTCCAGAATTTATTTTGAAAAGCACGTCTATTGAATTAATGGCTTTTTTACATGCCTGAATTAAGCGCACATTTTTTTTTCTTTCCAATGTGGATCTCAAAACGCGAGACGAATATTTAAACACACTCCATATTTGAATTCTCTCAACTACTTTTGATCCTCATTTTCTTTTATTACTCACATTACGTGACTGTACTCATAAGAAATTCCAATTTTTATTTTATCGCTTTAATTACCGACCTCTGAAAGCACTTTCGGTCCATTATTTTTCTCTCATTTTTGTCATTTATCTCGTCATTCGCAAGCACCAAACATCAGCAAATATATATATATACTATAGATCATTAATCACCAAACGGTTATCTGAAGAAATTAATATGCCATCATCAGCAGAGCTCAATTTTCGATTGATAAGAAAATAAAAAATAAAGAACGTACGCCACGAAAAGATAAAAATAAAAGATATAAGATCTGTGCATTCTTCTGCGCGCTGCACGTGAAGAATGCAGAGATCGTGAAGTTCACGATCGAGTCGAAACTTAACGAAAATAGGCCGGTTTTTCCGATATGGGCCAGACACGTGTTTACTGCAAGCGTGTCTTAGGTGAAGGCACGTTCGTTAGTACACGAAGGAATCTGGCAATGGCTTATGATGTCATGTTACCCATAAAAGAATAATTCTGTCAAATTACAGCATTATAATTTCTTTTTTTGCTGCAGACTGGTTTGGTTCATTGTGTCTGTGTGATTCGTTGATACTGGAAAGGCTTGATGGATTGAACACATGCTAAATCAGGGATTGGCAAACTTTTTCGGTCGCGGGCCAAAAATCGGAAAAAAAAAAGTTTGGCGGGCCAAGATAAATTTTTCTAAAATTTTAAGAACAATATACAAGTATTACAATTTAAGCACACAGCCCAGTCACATTAATGTGACCACCTGTCAAAAGCCAGAATATACACTTTTGTATATTCTGGCTTTAAGTGGAGTGTGGAATGTGTTATTAAGCGGTATTTAAGTGGTATTAAGTGGAATTCATTCTATACACTCCACTGCAATGTGCTGCCACCTGTCTTTTGTGATTGATTATTTCACGTTGACGTCGAAAGTAGGTGGTGGTCACATTAACGTGACTGGACTGTGTATGTTAACGAGATGAATGAAATTGCGATTTCATTTTTAAAAGTTCCGTATATTGAGGTTCGAATTGAGATGTACTGATTCTAAGGAACGAGGCTAAATGCTCAGCTGTCAGTCTATTTCTGAAATAATTTTTTCTGAGGTTCATAGTTGAAAACACTTGTTCTCATATATAAGATGAAGCAAACATATAAAATACTTGTGATATGAAATTTTATATCTGTACTCTGTACGTGAGATATAAAATTTGGCAAACTTACTTTCGATAATGATTTGTAAAACTCTAATTTGTTGGCGCCAATCTACAGCTATAACTAACAAAAAGCCAACGGCCGTACCATGCTTCTCATTAGATCACCGAAGTCAAGCATCATTGGGCGCGGTCAGTACTTGGGTGGGTGACCACCTGGGAACACCGCGTACCGTTGGCAAATTTGGGACCTGAATGGCCGAGTGTCTAGCGCTCTGGCGCCACAGGTTTCGGGTTCGAATCCCGGCGGTGCCATGGATGTTTGTAGTGGTTCGGAATCCACTTTAAGCCGTAGGTCCCGGTCTCCTATGACTGTAAGAGCGTCACGGAGCAAAAGTCAGGCTTCTACCTACGGGTGCTCCATCACAACAGAAGCTGCTTCCTTCCCCTTCAATCATGAGTACGTATGGGCTCGTGGGCTTGGCCAGCCAAGTGGGATAAGAAACAACAACAACAACATAACTAACAAAGAACTTCCGCTTTTAACTCTTTACCGATTGAAAGCTGTCTGTGCTTGCTCTTTTCAATCGATTTATGTTTTGTAGAACAAAAATCGAGAAAGTAAAAAGTTCATCAGTCCTTTGAAAAAAAAAAGCAAAAAAAAAAAAATATATATATATATATTTAATCAAAGTAGAAAATTAGATGGATATATAATATATAAATATATTAATTTGCCTCGAACCAGCAAATTAAAATTCTATCCGTGGGCGGGATAGAACCTTTAGTAGAACCGTAGTTTGCCCATCCGTGTGCTCGCTCAAAATACGATAATCTCACCCAGGGATGGTCATGATCTATCAACAAATCAGAAACTTTTTGAAAAAGCAATGGAGAACAATACCTTCTTTCTTCCAGATGCAATTCCAGAGATTGTTTTTGTGCTGGCAAAAATATGGATGTAATGCAGTACTTCTTTTGTGGTACTTCCCGGTTAGCATTAAATTTACTACATATCTGACATTCCAGTGTCTAATTCTAGTGATTCCAGTGACTAGTCATTCTAGTGACTAAGTGAATATTTGAACCTTTCAGAGTACAGTATTGTTATTGAAAAGAGGAAAAAAATGGCAGTGATAACAGTAACTGTCGTGTAATTTTTCTCGTGCATTATAATGGCAACTCACTTAATAGCAATAATTGAAATGTCCCTATTTCTCGCTTACAAAATAAGCGTAAACGCCTCTTATTTATTTCTTCAAAAATGAGTATTTTATTTGTCTGCTTTTATTGATACATAAAACAGTGCTCCTTTTGTTTTAATGTCCAATAAAATTAATGAATTGCAACGCTTGTTTTATTATTTTATTCTATTTAAAATAAGAATTTCTTAAAGAATAAGTTTTAAAAAAAACTTTTTAATAATAAAATTAAAATAAAAATATGGATAAAAATTAATTTATTTCTATTTTAAGTAAAATATATTTATGTGCTTTGAAAATCTCTGAATTTAATTCGATATTTATTTGATATAACCCATACCTGTAAAAGAACATTCGATCGAAACAAACGAAAAACTTAGAGCAAGGCGCATAGCATTTATTTATTGATCCATTAGAAAATATCAAACAAGGAAGAAAAAAAAAAGTAACATCCAGATCATTTTTTTTTTAATAAAAACACAGGCAACGCTTTGTTTACATTTAAATGTAACTTTTCTTATTAGTTCCCTCAAATCCTAAAGAAGTCTAATAAAAAAAAAAAAAAAAATCAGTAAATGTTTCTTTCTATAAGTTTACGACGACAAAAACTTTAAAATTTTCCACTTCTCATCGACGGCTTCTTCGACGAGAGCTTTAGTGTCTTGAAATGCTGCAGTTTGTTTGTTAAGCTCTTCTCTCAGTCCTCCAAGATGCTCAACGTGCTTCAGTCTGCATTTGTCCAGCTTGAATTTTATCTCGGATCGGAGGGCAAAGAAATTCTGCAGCGAGTCTTGGACCTCCTGCAGTTTCTCTTGAAGAGCCAGATTCTTCTTGATGTTTCCATTCACCGTTTCCCAAAAGTCACTTTTTGCCGGCGGCACTTTGTTCAGATCAGGGAAACGGACAAATTCATCCTGATCGCATGAGTCGCTGTCGGGACTGAGCTGGGAATTTTCGAGATCCTCCGTAATTAAGACATACAACTTCTCCTTCACCTTGGTGAACATCTGTTTTATACTCTTGAGGATCCTTCTGCAGTATTCCTGCTTCGTTTCAAGCTTTAACTTGATCACCAAGCTCCGAGTTGTGACTTTTGTGATGGTCATGATCTGGAACTGGAGGTGCCGCAGAGTTATGCACAGTTTTAAATGTCGCACTCTCTTGGAGCAAATGTTTTTCCACAGTGAGGCATCAATATTTTCAGGACAGCAAAGTTCTGCTGTGCTCTTCTCTGCCACAGATAAGTCTTCTGCGGTCAAGATTAGACTTGGCGTCCAAAAGGGATTTCCAGATTGCAAAGGAAAGCTAGGCAACCGTCTGAAAGAATCAAACGTTTTCTCACTGTCAGCAACTTTACTGCATTTGGTTTCTATTTTAGAATTCACACTCCTTTCTTGTTTTTGAATTTTGGAATGCAGTTGGCGTAAGTGCTTCTCCAAGTCTTTGGCTTCCTTGAAGAGTGAATCAAATTCGTCCACAAAACCGGTTACAGTTTCCAACTCTTCCTCGGTTTCTTCTCGGCTTTTAGAAAATTCTTGTTCGGCTAAAGTGTACAATAACGCGCAGGAAATTTTGAGTTCAAGAAAATGAATTATGTAATCACAATATAACCTCTTGAAAAATAACTTTTCTACTTTTAAATCGTATTCTAACTTGATCTCTTTAGCGGATTCTGTCATATTTTGAATGGAGCTCTTAGATTTTTCGATCTGATTACTATCTAATACGAATGGTTTGTCTATGACGGAAGGATTTTGATAGCTTTCTGAACTCACAGATTCTGATTCTATACCCCTTCCATGGTGCTCTGGTTCTCCTTGCAAGAGGAAAGCATTCCAGAAATCTCTTTCAGCTTTTGAAGGTAATTTAGAAGATTCTAATTTCATTTCTTGGATTATATCGGATATGCGATCTACAACATCAGACTTCTCATCATAAAGGTCGTCAAAAAAAATATTAAATTCTATTTTCCAATCGTGTATAAGTTTTCTGAGATTTTGAATCAGAATAAATCTTTCGTTTTCAGGTTTAAATTTCATACCTTTACTAAAAAATTTCAAATCAGCTTTAAATCCACCTGATTTATTACTGGTTTTTGATTCAACACGGTTATTTTTTGTCAAATAATCTGCAGGAAGTCTTTGAAGAGCTGAGTAATTTTGAACGACGTATCTCATGGAAGTGGAATGATTAATTTTCACTTCATTCAAGGAGCAATTTTCAAAATTTTTTTCAGTCCCGACATCCTCTCCCATTGAATCTTTCGCTAACAATAGAAAAATTTTATAGTTGTAATCAGATAATTTAAGTAAAGCATCATCATCCAAAACAATTTCGTTTGTTTTAAAAATTATTTTGTCTGGAAAATCGCTATCTTCGAAAAGCTTATACATTTTAAAATTCACTATTGCCGTATTCATTTGAAGTTTGAGCTGCAGTTCTTCATATGGAAGGGTGACTGCTGCTTTAGGAGACTGACCACACATTTTTAAGTCGACCGATTCTTCTTCATCCATATTTTCCAGAAAGTTGTTTTCTTTCTCCGAATTGGATTGACAATGCACAATCCATTCTGGGACAATCTTTGTATCAATAAGATTATTTGTCCATTTGTAACAGAGAATATATCCGGTTTCACTTCCAGTCACCAAAGTGTTGCCTAAAACACTGAAATCCAAAAAATGTCGACAAACGATATCGGTTAATGTTGATTCTGGACCTGCAGCTACTAACTCTATTGGTTCGCAATTGTACAGCTGAAGATATCCATGAACATCAATAATACCTATCCAGCGTTGATTAGACGAAATTTGCAATGTTGCAATATCGCTACTTTTAAAAAGATTCGTCATTTTATGATTAGGTTCAAGCCAAATGGGAAATTTTTGGATTTTGCCCAAGATAGGAGAATAAAATAAGGCTCCTAAGTTTACATGAATATCCATTTTGATGCAAGGATAATTGAGACGCCATTTTTGAAAATACAGAGCATCGTAGGACAAGTTCTTAAAAACGTCAATTTGATATTTCTTAGGATTATTGGCAAAATCCTCAGGAAGGTTCAATCGAATCAAAATATTACCAGCTTTCTTTTCGGAACTTGTTCCACTTTCGGATAAAATCAAGAGTGTAATTTCGTCCGTCTCTTTCCTCCTGAACATAGCAATGTCTTTTACTTGTTCTAAGATCTTCATTGACCCCAAGAAATCAAAGTTCGAAGATGGTAATCCGTTCCATAAGTTAATATGATGATCTGGAGCATATGTAACGAATATTTGGCCAAAATTTTCGAATTTTATGTGTTCCACTGGTGCTTCATATGGTCTCACACAATGAACTACTTTCGGATTTTTGGTATCTGTAACGTCCAAATAATGTAGGAATCCAGAATTTGATCCAATCAGTACAAGGGAACATAAAGGACTGGAAACCATTGATGATATGTCTTCCTCAAGTGATATGGCACTTATAAGGGAGCCTTTAGCAACTCTAAATATATGCAAACACCCAGTCTTCTTGGCTACCACGCAGTGTTGTGAAAAAGGCTTGATCATACATACACCGATCTCTCCTGCGCAATCAGCTCTTAGAACCTCAATAGTTTGCAGTGTATTTAATTCATACAAAGAAATAGCTCCTTTCGAAGTGGTAATAGCTAGAACATCATAGAGAGGAGACATCAAGAGATTTTTTATTGGATGCGCAACTTTAAATGTTTCTATAATGGACCAATGATCTCTTGCTATGTTTACAATGTCAATGAAACCCGTCTTGTAGCCAACAAACAGACCCATCTTACTGAACACCATGCTGTTTATCGCATATTTACTTTCTGGTTCTCTGCTGAAAGCTGTAGCGTTGCAAAGATAAGGATTGACTTTCAGTAACCCACTGGAAGTTTCAATAAGCAAATAGTGCTTTGGAATCCAACAGTGGCACATTATGGAAAGTGATTTGCACTGGCCTTTCATCTCGTCCGATGTAGTTTTGGAGATAACCTTGAAGGTACCATTTTCACCTGGCAGAAAACACAAG